AAAAAAAAAAAAAAAAAGATGACCGGTAAGGGGATCTTAACCCTTGACTTGGTGTTGTCTGCACCACGCTCAGCCAGTGAGCCAAACCGGCCATCCATATATAGGATCCGAACCCGTGGCCTTGGTGTTATCAGCACCGCACTCTACCGAGTGAGCCACGGGCCGGCCCGAAAGTAAGGTTTTTGAGAGCCACAATGTCACCAACAAAAATCCAGTGGCAGCCTGGCCAGTTAGCTGAGTTAGTGAGCACGGTGTTACAACACCAAGGTCAAGGGTTCAGATCCCCATACTGACCGGCTGCCAAAAAAATCCAGTGGTAACCCTGGTCACAAGAAACATCAAGTAACAGGATATCTTTCTGAGCATGTAGGCAACCCCAGTTAAGTGGAGATAGCATCTCTCTTCCAGAAGTGCATCTTTTAACCCCAGGAAGACTTAGATGTAAACACCAAGCTGGCCAGTTAGTTCAGTTGGTTAGAGTGTGGTGCTCACAACACCAAGGTCAAGGGTTTGATTCCTGTACCAGTCAGCCACACACAAAAAATAAAAGTATAGAAAGCATCAAGAGAATTCAAACCACAGCATTAATGGTTTTATGTAAAAAAGAACTCTCTTAAGATTTGACAAAGCTCAGTTGGTTAGAGTATGGTGTTGTAACACCAAGGTCAAGGGTTCAGATCCCGTACTGGTCAGCTGCCCCCAAAAAAGATTTGACAAAATTGGCTAATAGAATGACATCCTTGTAACACATAGTACTTTCTAACATATAAATGAGCGACTTGCTTTGATGCCTGACTACATAGTACATGGGAAGGAAACATCTAATAATCTCAGACTCAGGGCACTTGCAGATTTACTCGGTTCATAGGAATTATTTTGTAACCAGAAGGCTCTTTGGCAAACAAAGCCCTTATTTTACAAATGCTGCCTCCATTAGAGGCACATCAGAGAGGAATCAAAGTAACTAGGTTTGTAGTGGAGCTCAATGTTACTCAAAAGCCCCTTAGGGGGCCGGCCCGTGGCTCACTCGGGAGAGTGCGGTGCTGATAACACCAAGGCCACGGGTTCGGATCCCATATAGGGATGGCGGGTTTGCTCACTGGCTGAGCATGGTGCTGACAACACCAAGTCAAGGGTTGAGATCCCCTTACCAGTCTTTAAAAAAAAAAAAAAAAAAAAAGCCCCTTAGAAGGGACTGTTCAGCTCCACATCCAGGATTTACCTACCTTAGGCACAGAATAAGCTGAAGATGTTGAGGCTGAACTTTAAAAGCTCAAGGAAGGGCCTGCCCGGTGGCGCACTCGGTAGAGGGCGGTGCTTGAGAGCGGGGCGAGGGTTCGGGTCCCATATAGAGACCGGTCTGCTCACTGGTTGAGCACCGTGCGGGCGTGACACCGAGGGTTGCGATCCCATTGCCGGTCGCGGTACGGGCGTGACACCGAGGGTTACGATCCCGTTACCGGTCACGAAAAAAGACAAAAAGGAGAAAAAAATAAAAGCTCAAGGAAGAGTCAGAGTTAGGAACTTTTTTTTTTTTTGTCCTTTTTGAGACCGGCTGCACCGCGCTCAGCCAGTGAGCGCTGTGAGCGCACCGGTCATCCCTATATAGGATCCGAACCCGTGGCGGGAGCGCTGCCGCGCTCCAAGCGCCACACCCTCCCGAGTGCACCATGGGCTCGGCCCAGAGTTAGGAACTTTTAATGGTAATTATCTTTTATTAAAACCAAGAAATCTTGGGAGTATGGCGGCGCTCCCGCCGAGGGT